TCTTCCAATGCCCATCTTGTATGTAATGGGAAAACTCAGCAGGTTAGCATTTATAGTGGTGAAACTTTTAGCCCGGTAGTGAAACCGACTATGATTCGCACCATTCTTTCTATTTCTCTTTCAAAGGCATGGTTCATACATCAGTTTGATGTCAAAAATATTTTTCTTCATGGTGAGCTACAAGAAACAGTTTATATGCATCAACCATTGGGGTATCGTGACCGTACTCATCCAGATTATGTGTGTCGTTTGCATAAGTCATTATATGGGCTTAAACAAGCACCCCATGGTTGGTATAAGTAGTTTGTTGATTATGTTGTGTCTCTTGATTTCTCAAATAGAAAATGTGACCACTCATTATTTATTTATCGAAAGGGTTCACACATGACTTACATTTTGCTCTATGTTGATGACATTATTCTTACTGCCTCTTCTCATGCTCTCCGATTATATATTATGAACCTTTTGAGCTCGAAATTTCCTATGAAGGAACTTGGTCCATTGAACTATTTTCTTGACATTGTAGTGACTTGACATAAGAGTGGTATGTTCATTTCACAACATAAATATGCCGAAGCAATTATTGACCGGGCCGGTATGTCTTCTTGCAAGTCGTCTCCAACACCGGTTGACACCAATGTTAAGGTGTGCTTATATATGCATGATCCGAGAGTGGACCATATGCAAGCTCTCAAATGCATTATCCGGTATTTATAAGGTACACTTGATCTTGGTCTTCATTTCAATTCATCTTCGACCTCATCTCTTGTTTCTTATACTGATGCTGATTGGGGTGGGTTCCCTGATATGAGACGTTCTACCTCGGGTTACTGTGTGTTTTTGGGTGATAACTTGGTGTTGTGGTTCTCCAAGCGTCAATCTGCACTATCTCGGTCTAGTGCAGAGGTCGAGTATAAGGGTGTTGTTAATATGGTTTCTTAGTCATGTTGGCTTCGAAATTTGTTATTAAAAGTGCATTGTCCGGTTAGCAAGGCTACTCTTGTATATTGTGACAATATTAGTGTTATCTATTTGTCGGGAAACCCGATGCAACATCAACGTACCAAACATATTGAGATGGGCATACATTTTGTACGGGAAAAGGTTGCACGTGGTCAGGTTCGAGTTCTTCATGTACATTCACGATATCAGATCACGAACATCTTTACTAAGGGACTTTCGCACATGTTTGATAATTTTAGGAACAATTTTAGTGTTTGTTGTCCTCCTATTTTGACTGCAGGAGTGTGTTAAGATATATGTAAATATATTTTGTTATTGTATTTTAGGTAAGCATATATTTAATTCATAATTAGTTTCTTAAATATATACCTGATATTATTAGTTACCTAATTAGTTTCCTAAGATTACAACTTATACATTGTATTTATTCCAAGTCAGTGAATGAGATCAATTATAAAAAATATTCTTTTACTAATGATTAAGGTTAATTACTATTTTAGATTAATAAATTAATAAAAAATAAATATATTATAATGAAGAGTACATTTTTGTATTCTTTTTTATATCGAATGGATGCATTCTCTCATAATTTATATATTAAATCATTATATTTAAAAAATAATAATTTCATTAATATAATTTAAATTTTAAAAATATATTTTTATTTTCTTATTTTTAATTAAATTAATTGATTTTGTATAAGTATGTTAATATTTAAAACAAAAAATTCAATCGAGTCTAAATTAGCTCATTAGTGTGTTAGTCTAACATAAGGTCGGACTAAACTACAAATTTTTGTCTATTTTAAAATATAAATCAGATTGGATCATAATTTTTTTTTACCCATACAACCAGAATAGGCTGGTTGGACTGCCCATTTTGAGAATTCTAATGAAGAGTGAGGAGTATATAACTTGAGAAAATTGAAGGTTAAAATATTTTATATTTACGTGTATGATGTACTATAATGACATTATCATATGCTAAAATAAAAATTATTCGATAAAAATATTTATATCGTGATTTATTATAAAAAAGAAAATATTTATTATATAATATTTTATAAATGATGATAACATAATATAATGAAGAGTGGTAAGACAAAATATCAAACTTTTTATACATCTAATTCTTAATTCTTTTTTAAGTTTAGATGCATAATAATGAAAACTAAAAACATCTAATAACTCATTTCACTTGGGATAATAAATAAAGCTAATTCGCTTCGTTTTAGTCTAAGTCACCAAAAATGGGATGAAATGAGTTAGTCAATTATAATTAAGACGGACTATAAACTTTAGCACCTTTCAGTCAAGAATGGACTGACATATTAACGCATTAACATGTCAATAATATATTTTATTTGTATTTTTTTTAAATATATCTTTAATTATATGAATAATTTTTAAATTTTTATTTATTAATTAATATTTGTATTAGATAAATTGAAAATTTATTATATTTATATATTAAAATAACTAATTATAATCAATAATTTAAATTTAACTGATTAATTTTTATAATTTAAATTATTATATATTTACATATTTTAATAATATAACATAAAAAAATATTTTTATTTATAATATTTTTTATTTTAATTTTAATATATAATTTTTTTAAAACGGATTAACATTTCAGTCCGTCTCGTAACTCGTTTTACCTTTTAAAGGGTTAGATGTAACGGACCAAAGCAATTACGGCTAAAACCCATCACGCCCACCATTTTTTGGGCGGACTCACGGACGTATTTTGTCATCTAATTTCACCTATAACATATCTCTATTCTATTAACCTACGCCCCACGAGTATTTGTTTCTCAAGTAAAACACGGCTAAAAGATTCTCAGCAAGGTAATTTCACTTTAAATTAAAGTAAGCTCGTAACTTTATTTATTTCAATTTTTTATTAAATAACTATTTATAATAAATATAAAATTAAATACGATTAAGTTTGATTTTATTTATATTTTATATAAATTTTAAACCTAATCAAATCAATACTCATAATTTACTTTTTTAAACAATTTTGCGGTTATTACCAAAGAATTGTTAAACAAATTTTGCAATAGAATTGTAGTATTTTCTTGAAAAAAATGGTTAAACATTTATAGTAGAAATCCCTTTTAAATAAAACCATATACTGTGACATTTTTACATGATTATTATTTTATTCAAAAATTTTATTTCTCTTGTATTGATAAATTGCAATCCAAAGTTATAATAATATTTTAATAAATACAAATATATTATAAATAAAACATAAACAAATTAAAAACCAATCTATAAAAAAAATATAACCATATTAATTGATAATTAACTTTAAACTTAATATTATATTTAAATGTAATAAACAATTTAATCTGATTTGGTTTAATTTTTAATCTGAACCATACCAGTTAAGAAAAAAATAAATCCAAAAAATTCTATAAAAATTCGATTACAATGTATTTTCAATTTTAAATTATTTGAATTAAAAGTAGAAAGTAATGTTTGAGTGATAAGTTTCTAAAACAACTTGAATGCTTCAATGCAAAATTGTAATTGGACAATCAAATAATAAATCAAAACACCAGCAGCCCTGTTAATTTCCACTTCATCTTATTGGAAAGGAAGCTAAAATGCTAGCCCGTTCATTTGACATATTTAACATGACGGGAAAACTTGGCTTGAAGAAAATCTTAACATCTTGTTACAATTTATGTGATAGTAGTAGGGATGAAAATTAAACTCTTACCCGTGAGGATCGATCCGTCCCCGTGCCGAGTTTGACAGGAAAAATCCGAGTTGACCAGGGGCAAGAACAGATTTTTCCAGCTTTAAAAGTTGAGGGCGGGGATGGGTAATGCAATCTCCACTCCCACCTGCCTGACTTTATATTTAAATTTAAATTTTAAAATATTTCCTTTTCTTTTTTATTACATATAATGTCATGTTTTATATTTTTCCATTTTTTATTTTTCTTCTACCCACTTTTTAATTTTTTTGTCTTTTTTAATCTTTTATATCAATTAATTTATTACATTATCTCTCTTACCTTTCAATTTTTCATATTTCCTTAATCTCTCCCAGTCAATTTGTTTTTTTTTTCAATCTTTTCAACCTATTTGATGAACACAAAATTAATTTTTTTATTCTTTATCTTTTTCTAAATATTTTACATAAATATTAATAGTAACTAATATTATTTTATTTATACTTTATATTCATTAGGTTTTATTATGTCATATTTTTTTATCTTATTCTTATTTATCATATATCAAATTTTATCTTAATAAAATAATTATATTTTAAAAAATTAAAAAAATTGATAATTTAAACTTTTATTACTTCGAACTAATTGAATAAGAATTAACTTATTAAATATTTTCTTATAAACTATATATTTTATATTTTTAAATGGCAACTTAAAAATGAATTAACTTATATATATAATAAAATATTTGAATACAATATAATAATAATGTTATAAATATCCAAATATTTCAATATAGTGTTATAATAATAATAATATTATAAATAAAAAATGATTAAATATTTCTTTTACATATATATTTTAATATAAATATAATAAATTAAAAAATATATTTAATTAATAATAATTATAAATTATAAAATTATAAATATTTAGTTATATATAAAAAATAGATAGTAAAATTAATTTATTATAAATGTAATTATCTTTTTAAAAATAATATAAATCGGGAACGGGACGGGGATGAGGAAGCCAAAACTCAGCAAAGACTTGGACGATGACTTAATTTCTAACCCGACGAGAATCGGAAGCGGAGACGGAGATGATTAAAAAAATCGGGGACGGGATCGGGGAGGCAAAACCTGTCCCACCCCGTTGCCATGCCTACATATTAGGCTTCAAAAACATGACAGGTTCTAACGATTCAAAGAAAACTTCAGAATCTTAATTCTTAGGCCGTAATAAGCCAAAACGAAACAAAAATTCTAGTTGACAACACAACAGCAGCAATAAGTATGACAAACCATGAATAAATAAAATGTCCACCAAGATGAAGATTGATGTCAATTTTTAAGTGCGTTCATTCTGTCCCTCAGATAGTAGAGTTTGGCCCTTCTCACTTTCTTTTTGTCTAGCACCTTTATCTCCTTTATGTTAGGTGAATACCTATAACAGTTCACAAATAGCCCGAATATCAGGCATTAACCATTATGTAATATAACTACAAACAAGCACGATCAACTCAAAATAAAAAAAAATAAAAACACAAAATTACATCACACCCTTCCCAACCCAAAACAATAGTAGATAAATTATGACAGGCTGAAATGAGGATCATCAATAGTGTACGATCCCAACAACTCGTGCCAAGCACATAAGGAAACATCTTAAATTAAGCTCATAAAAGAATGTACACTGAAGTAAAGTAATATACTTAAAATTCTACATCAGAAAAGCAGCTCACTTTTATCCCTATAGATAATGCCTGGGGGGATTAAATATTGAAAAGGAACTAAAATGTATATTCCAATAAGAAGTATTTTTCAAAACTCTAAATAAATTTGTATTTGAATAAGTTTTGAAATAATCATGTTCACGCTTCTAGCTTACAAGAAAAGCAGTAAAATAGTGTTCCCTTCTTTTTAGTTTTTTCTTGACAAACTTACTTATCATGAAGTTTTAGACATTTTTAAATAAAAGGGTGCTTAAAAAACAACTAATATAACAAGTCCGTAACTAGAATTTCAAATAATTATCATCAGCCGAAGTAATAATTTCTATCGTCTTTTTATCATTACGGTCAATGAAGCAATTTAACTAAAACCTCCTTAAATGCCAATATATGTAAAAAGATGTTGTTTCACTAGTTCAAATAGCATATCTAAAAACAGATCTAGTTAAGATATTGGAAGGTAATACTTACAGAGGGAACAGAGATTCAACCCCAACCCCAGCCACCTGCCTCCGAATTCTGAATGTAGTATTGAGTCCAGCATTACGCCTTGCAATAACAATGCCTTTTATAATAGAAACACGCCTCTTATTCTCAGGTACTTCCTGTTATCATACTTTAGTAAACAAAACTATCACAAACAAAAACCAAGCAAAGAACAAATATGAATAAGAAATATAAAACTTTCATACCACTTTGAGTTGCACAATATAACCAGGCTTTATGTCAGGTATCTCTCTTTGCCCTCTCACCTCCTCTACTGCTTCCTTGTCTAAAATCTAAAGGATATAAATACCAAACATTTATACAAATGACAAGAATAATATTATTATTTAAAACAATTCCGAAAGTCGCTTGCCTGCATAATGTTCCGACCAGTTTTGTCTAATCTCTTAAATTTGATGCGAGAAGGAACTTCAGGCACCAGTGTCGAGCTATCTTGAAAAGAAGAATCAACAGAAGCTGCCTCTGTTGTCATATACCTGTTAGCAAAAGGTGGTGCGATCCCAACCTGCTGGAACGATCCCAGTCCAGAACTTCTCAGCACTGACACCACACCATTACCAGGCTCAAATCTTGAAAATGACTCAGGCTGGGGGAATTTTGTAATCTGCAAAAGCAATTATGACCAAAGCAAGCACCAATAAGAGCTTATATCACACACTGTCAATTTGTTACAAAGTCTAAAAATCATGGCCACACCTTCAAAAGACAAACTGAAACATAAAATAAGCTTGACTTAGGATAAACCTCTCCTTTAACAGTTATAGGAGAAAAAAATAAAAAGGAAAAATAATATGAGCATTTTCTTTACCTAAAACTAGTTATGCATAAGTTAAAAATTAGCTTTTGGAGAAGTTAACAAGAGAGAAACTCTACAAATTAGCTTATTTGTATAAACAAGTTTATATCATTTCTCCTTCTCATTAGTTCTCCTATAGGAGAGCTCAGGACAAGTTTATTCAAACAAACCCCAAAATATCTCCCCCTGGATGACTCTAAATACTTATGTCATCTTCAATTCCTTTATTCATTCCACTCAATCATATGCATAATTAACAATAAAGAAACCAAAAACTGAGCAGAACACAACGGTAGTGAACGATATTGTCTGTAACTTGACAACTTTCCCAATTACACTAGAACAAATTATATGATATCAATTGAAATACTATAACATCATGTTAGATCATATAGGATCTGTTTGGATGAATTTCTCTTGAACACTTCTAGCAGAACAAAAAAAAATGAAGAGAGATATACTAAAATTATATTATAGATAAGAAGTTAAAAATAAAAATTTCGAGAAGGCCTGGTGATAGAATATTTACAAATAAGCTTATATATAAGCTTATTTTACTCTATACAGAAAGTAATATCAAATTTATTGTCTTATTTAATTTCCACCTAAAAGTTACCACAGGCGTCATAGAACTAACGATAGGATTCTGTAATCCAAACACAACGAAGTCTAGCTACATTGCCATGCTCGTCGCCGCAACCAAGCCTATCTTAATCCGCAATTCCATTAAAATTTAAACGAAAAATAAAAAGCGCCCAACTTTTTTTTTTGGTTACTTTATTTATCATCATCATCATCATAACATCAAAATCAAGCGCGAGAAAGTGTGACAAAGTGAATGAAACGCAGTGATGCTTACGGAGATCGTAGAAACGCGAGACGAAAATTTTGGGACAGAGACTGACCGGCAAGGGGTCAGAGCCTGACACAGTGGCGGAGTTCGACGGAGAAATGGTCGGAGCAGAGATGACGAGAGTCTGCGAGAAGTCATGGCGAGAGGACACAGAGACACAAGGGAGAAGCCCTTAGTTAGGGTTTATGGCTTTAAAATTTTCAAATAAATTACATTTGAATACTTTAAAAAATAAATGAAAAATATAAAAATATTTAACTTTTACACATTCTGAAAATAATATAATAATATATTATTATTTTTTTCATTTCAAATTTTAGTGACTTGGAAGTCATCTTTAATACAATAACTTGTTCTCTTGAAAAGAAATGTGAAAAGAGATTCACAGTATTAAGTCATTTTTAAAAAATTTAATTTAATTTTGTTCTAATAATAAAAGTTTTAAATAATTCATTATTTTGTATATTATAATATTTATTGATTAAAATTTAATTAATTAATATTTTGTATAAAAATTAATTTAATATATTTATTAAATAATTAATTATATTTTTATGAATAATTAATTAAATTTTTGACATACAGTTAATTAGTTTAACTAACATATAATTATATTTTTACTTTAAAAATAATATTTAAATAAATTGGTAATAATGAGAACCAAATAATACTACAAAATTGTTACATAAAGTTTATTTTTATTTTTTAAAATATATTTTATTAAATCTATTTGAAGTTGGTAGTGAATATTTTTCTAAAATTAGAAAGAGAACATGAAAATATGTCAATAGTGGACATGTCATTTTTTTTAATATCATAATGAACATAATTTTAATAAATGTATTGTTTGTCCTCAATAATCATATTATGTAATATGACATATGCATAAATTATGTTCTTCAACGTATAAGTATCTCAAAAATGCATTAGATCATGTATAATTATTAGTCAAAATTGGAGGACTATAAATGCACGTTTAACATCCTTTCTAACTGATTATTGTTGTCAAGAAAATAGTTTTCTCTTTTTTTCTTGTGACATTAAACTAATTTTCACAAATGTGGTAAAATCTATATAAATATCATCTGTTAAACAATATCTCATTTCATATTATGCACTAGAGGTGAAAAACTTGATATAACTTCATTAAACATATTAGATACATTTAACATAGTAATATCATTATTTGACTTCACAATAATAAAAAATAAGTATCAAATCCACAAGTCTTGTGATGTCACTGCTTCAAGAATGATTATTTAGTTATCATGATCACCTCGACAAAATTAATCTTTCCATGCAACTGGACCATTTTTTAATTCCCATTGCACACATTTAATTAATTCTAATACACCTGAAAAAAAAACACATGTCACTTCCATTTATAATAGTTAATCAATGTATTTATTGTTAGGTCTTCTCAAATATGTATCTCCAAGGACTACACAAATGTCCGATACAAATCGTTATAAACATTCTGCTATAGTGTTTTCACCAATTCGAATATATTCATCCACATTATCAGTTAGTGAGCCATAAGTTATTATGCGAACAACAACATTATACTTTTGCAAAGGTGATAAATCTTTTCTTCGTGTTGCATCTAACCTCATTATAAAGTAATCATTATGATTGTCACGAGGCTTCCACAATTCTTACAAAATTTATAGTGTTAAAATTTATTACCGTTAGGAGGGATAAATTTATGTTACAATAACACAAAGGACTACAAAAACTCAATGACTAGAAATAGTATCAATCTAGCTATCTAATTTTTTTCATTCAACTACCCAATGGTACAATTTTTCAATCTTGCTCGCCTCTTCATTATTTCCCATCTTGCATCTTCTTCTACTTTTCCCTTTCTCACTTCTCCCTTCTCCCATCCCCTTCCCACTTCCCACTTGTCTATTCCTTTCTTCCCCTTTTTCCTTCCCTTCCTCCCCTCTTCTCTTACACTACTTCCATATTCGTTATTGTTGCAATCTTTGTCGTCGCGTTCACCGTCGTCGCATCCTCTATTGTCATGTCTGTTGTTGTTGCCTATAACTCGATCTCTTGTACTTATGTCTATTACTCCTTACTACTCTATCTCCCATAGTTTCCACCATTATAGTGTATCCGTTGTCACGTATAGTTATGTCTCATTGTTATCGTGTGTAACATCTAGTATTTCCCAAAAATATTTCATTAATATAATAAAATATTTTGTCATTAACTTTAAAAAAATGGTATTATGAGTTATTTTAAGACTTGATAATTTTTAAAGATATTAATAAATAATATATATATATATATATATATATTATGAAATTTTTAATAGAGTGAAATAGATAAATTTAGAATTGAGTTTAAAATGAAGTAATAATAATAATAATAATAATAATAATAATAATAATAAGAGTAATATCATTAAGCAAAATTAGTAATATAATTTCCCATTGATGAAAGGATTTAATTGGTAAGTGAAAAAGTAAGTGAGGGTAATTTTGGAAAGGAGGTTAAATTTAAAGAAGAGAAAGACCAATTTTCTTTCTCACTTACGGAAGCCATTTTGGGAGCACGGGAGGAAGAAGAGAAGCTTGATTTTTCTTGCCCACACCATCTTGGTTCATCCTTTTTGCAATTAAGAGTAAGATCCATGAAATTAAAGCATTGGATTTCAATATTATCTCCTAAAATCTTCTTAATCTCAAATATATGGTCATTTTGATGGTTATAGGAGACAAACTTTTCTCGAACTACGGATCTCTATTTTCTTGTTTAAAAGCTTCATTTGAGGTAAGGAGAGTCTTCTTGTCATCAACCCTAGACTAAACCATCATTTATCTCACTTCTACATTAATTGGAACCAAATTAAGATGTTTTATAAAAATTTTGTACGGCTATTCTAGTATATTTAGATACTCTACAAAACTCCTTTCATATTTTAGAGTTTAGAAATGGATTCTTTGGATGTTAAAACCTAGAGTTAGCCATAAAAATCACTTAAATTGGATTTTTCTAGAGGAAGATGATGAAATATGTGTTAAAGAGATGTTGTTGGACAAAAATCTACATGTGAATTGAATCTTTGGGAAATTATGTAAAAATATTTACTTGGTATTTAATTCTGAAATTTTGATTACATGTTTCTTTTTATGTCTATTTCGTGTGTGATTTAGTTCAAAATTTTCTGACTAGTGAATTTTCGATGAAAAATCTTGGAAGTAAATAGGTTTTGAGTTGGGTGAAACAGAATTGTTATGTCCGCTCAGCAACTTTGAAAAATCATATAAAATTGAAATTAAAGTTTTTTTGAGATGAAATTTTTATCATAGTTGTGATTGTAGATATATGTTAAGCATATTTATTTTCATAATTTTATGAGCATTAATTTATTTTATAAAAATATATCTTTGAATAATGCCCTGATAGTGGAATCTTCAAAATGTATAAAAAGGGAGGAAAGTTTTGAATGTCTTAGAAATCTTTAAATTTTGAGTTATAATTTTTATTATAATCCTAGAATATATGTATTTTGGACTGAAAATTTTCATAGAATTTGGAGTTAGTTTAGATGGCAAATTTTTTTTCCAAAGTTACACTTTTCTAATGCTTATGATAAACTTTTCTTCCTAGAGAAGTATAAACAAAACTTTAGTTTTGTACCTATTATTTATTTTATGAGTATGTATGATGTGAGAATGATAGTGTTAGTGAGATATTTTGGGACACAAGATTAGAATAACAAGAGTTTAGAAAATTTGATGGATCGCAATGTGTGCTGAGTTCGAGAGTATCCGACTCTCGGCAAATTTTTATTGTTCTTGTTTGATGCAGGAAAATGTGTTTATAAATTTGATTTGAATGTATTTGTAAATTGGGAAATGTCCAAATTACAAAGGAGACTCTGTCAAATTTTTGAAATTGGTGAAAAATAAATAAAGCTTAATAAGAATGGTATAAAGAAACGTTATGAATAGTTAATGCATTCATAATCATGGTAGTTAGTGGAAATCATGTCTATAAGATGTTTGTGCTATGTGCTGAGTCTAAGTCAGAGATGTTGGTAATATAAAAATAGGGTATTATGTCTATAGTGATATGGTCTGTATGATGTAGAGTTTGTTCCTACCAAATATATTGTTGTTAAAGAGTTGGTGGTGTCACTCAGTGACGAGATATGTGTGTGGATGGTACGGAGATACACCGGGGGCTTAGGAGATAAGAGAAGATCAGATTGATCTTGGGGAAATGTAGAGTGCATTGTTTGGCCGCGCTCTATACTCCCGACTTGACTCTTTGACTTTGCCTTTTTGCCAAGGGATCGTTATGCGTAAGCATTGTATCTGTGATGCGCAGATCAACCGGCAACTATCTATACTTCTGTGAGCCATTTATGCTCGTGTGTAATTTTGTTATGTTTGTGAGAGTTGTCTATACTTATGTGTGATCCTTTCATGGATTGAAAGATGGGATTGATAGTGTATCCTAGGTGCATGAGCATTTCAAATGTGTCAAAAATGAACGAATGAAACACAAACATGTATTGTATGTTTTTAGTTTGAGTAATGTGATTTGTGGAAATTATTTGAAATTTCTGTGTGGGATACTTTATTGAAAAAAATGAAATGTTTGACTATAAATGTTACATATGGTTTTAGATTGTAGAGGTTGGAAAAATTTTCGGTTTAGTGTTCTGGAGTGATGAGAAAAGGAAACTCATCCTTACTGTTATATTTCAGGTAATGATGGAACAATTGTGGTGGAGGAACCACAGTTTGATTGAGTATCATATACATATGTATGGAAAAATGCTGCCCTCGGGAGGGGTATGATCTTGTATAAGAAAGTTAGGAATTTTGGGTACCGCTTCCGATTAGGATTTGCTTTATTTTGAGATGTATAAATTTAAAATTAAGTTCTAATCGTTTAAGGGTACAAACTTTATGTAATTATAGTATGATCCTTGTTGGATTAGTTATTTTGAAAAACAATGTATTATGATTATGGATGTATATGTATGAATATATTCGACACATCTATATATATTCATTAACGCATGATCAGTTTTAAAGTTCATTGTCATAAAGAAATAATATTGTAAAAAAAAAGTATTCCCATTTTTGAGAAATTAAATAAATTAGAAGAAAAAA